AATCAGCACATGATGCTAAAGCAAAGACATTCACACTGAAGAACACACATACTCATACCCTACCTGGCACAATACACAAGAAGTAATTTGTGATAGATTATAGATATAAATGTGAAAACTAAAGCTACAAATTCTTAGGCATAAACGTAAGAGCACATTTTATTGAACTTTCGGTGGTCAAGCATGTTTCAGTTATAACATAGAAAACACAAATCATAACAGAATATTGATAAGTCCCGACCCAAATTAAAAGCGTTTGTTGATACAAATATGCCACTAAAATAAATTGGGATGGAATTCTACTCAGGATCACAAGAGATGAACTATTTGATACACACAATGGCTTAAGTTTCAGTGAAGCTGAGTCAAAGAAGTCAGCCTCAAAGGACCACCCAGGTGTGATTCCATTTTTATGACATCCTCCTTGATAAAAGCTATATACTGTCCTCCTGTTAGATGCATTGTGATGCGGACAGCAAGATTTCTTTCCTTTTGTGACTAGTATTCCATTATATGCAAGTACCAAATTTTCTTTATCCATTCATCCATTGATGGCTACCTAGGTTGTTTCTATACCTTAGCTATTGTTTTTTTAAAAAAATTTAATTTATTGGTACATTCTAGGTAGACAGTACCTTAGCTATTGTTAATAACGAGGTACTAAACATAGAAATGTAAGTAACTCTTTGATAAAAGAATTTCATTTCCTTTTTCATGCTGTACTCCACTAAAATATACAAATATTTTTGTCAATTAAAAAAAATCCATAGTAACAGGGACTTTATCCGTGATTTTCAGGGATATAGTGTGGCTACAAAGGCATAACTATGAGTGAAGTTTTTTGAGATGGTGGAACTATTCTGTCTTCATTGTGCGGAGATGTGAAACATTACATGTGTTGATAAAAAATTTGCACCAAAGGAGGCAGTTCTACTCTGTTAGTAGAAAGGAAAATGCATCAGTTCATAACTAAAGATAGGTAGAAAAGATTCGTTCAATGTACATTTCAGGGAAAAACTAGCACTCAAAATATAAAGGCATATAGCTCAATGAGGAAAGTCAGTGTAAAGAGTGGGAAAAACATGTGAGCAGATACTTCACAAAGGAAAATATTTAAATGACTTACAGTCCAATGAAAACATGACTATATCAATAATCATCAGGGGAATGCATGTGAAAATCATTATTTGGAGAGATATATGCTTACTCAGTAGCACAATTAGAATTTAAACCACACTCTATATCAAATATTGGTAAGGAAATGTGAGAAGCACATTGCACATCGTTGGCTTAAATAACCAGTGGTTTGGTAACTTCTCATAGAATTAACCATACACCTTACCTTAGAGCCCGGCAATCCCATTACTTACATTTTTCCCAAGAAGAATCAAAATATATATCTGCAAAAGACTTGCAAAAGAATGGCCACAGCAAGTTTATTCATAATTACTAAAAACCAGAAGGAACCCAGACACTCATTAAAAGTAGAACAAATGAGCTAAGGACATTGCTCAGTGGTAGAGCACTTGCCTAGCATGCATGAGCTCATGGGTCGCATTCCTCATGCTGCAAAAGAAAAAAAAAAAGTGGAATCGATGAAAAATGTTGTGGGGGGTGGTGGCACACTCGGGAGTCTGAGATAAGAGGATTGCCGTGAGTTCAAGGTCAGCCTGGGTCGATATCCACAACAGATGATCACGGAAACATTGTGCTAAGTAGAAGAAGCCAGATACGAAGATCACATTATGTAGAATTCCACTTACAAAGTTCTCAAACAGGCAAAATTAATTTAGGGAAATAGGAGTCAGAACAGAAGTAGCTTGGGTGGGTAGGAAGGCAGCTGCCCACTGGGAAGGGGCACAGGGATTTCTGGGGCCATGGAAATGTTCTGTATCCCGAGAGAGGTCAATTATATATATATATATATATACATATATATCCCTAACCTATCCATCTCTATATTTCAGTGAACTCTACTGTGTGCACACGTGTGATTAAAAATAAAACAATGTGTTCATGTAGGGATTACGGGAGGAGGGGCCATAATAATTCAATACACAGATACACAGTGGCCTGGCTTCTACTTGGCTAGGCTTCAGATGCCAGAAGGATGCAGTTTCTGTGCAGATCCCTTCTTGAGCTTGTCTTTACCCTGCCCTTGTCTCCCGTCTTCCCTGCTCACCACTGAGGATTTGGGAAACCACACTCCACTGTGATGTTCCTCCCTGCTTGGTTTGGTATTTCACTTCCCTCTCCCTTCTGTGGGGCTAGAAGCCTGGGGTGTGAGCAGGGAGCAAGAAGGAGTGGCCTCTCCTATTCTCTTGACTTGGCCCCTTGCTGCTCAGAAATTGAGATTTGGGTCCAGCTACCTGGTGCTGACTCAGGCCAGGCCCCAAAGGGTTTCTGCATGCTTAGGGGAGGAAGCCTACTTAGTGGTAGGGGTGGGACAGTTGGCGCTTTCCTCAACATGCCCTTTTATCCTTCCCATTCCTTGAAAAAAAAATATATATATATATATATATATCCCCCTTAAAGTCCTTAGGCTGAGACAGGTGTCCCTATCTCCGGAGAACACAGTGGGCTGAGCTTCACCCAGCCAGACTCAGCTTGGCAGTGTGTCTTCCTCAACCCTTCCAAAGGGGGGGGGTGGGAATCAAAGGAATGCATTGCTTTCCTTCTCCTTTTCATTCTGCTCTACTGACCTTTTGCTTAGCTTTTTGCTAATGTCATTTTCACTCTTGGTAGGGCTTTCTCGACAGTAAGGAAGACTTCTTTATGAAGCCGTGGTGATAAACTAGGGTCATGCATTCACTCACATGGAGGAAACCACTTCATCAGCTCCGGCCTCCGTATCAGATCCTTCTAATCTAATCAGGAGAACAGCAAAACTCTGCAAGAGCCCTTGTTAATCCTGTCACTTACTACCTCCCCAGGTTTTGAAAAATGCAGTTTAATTAGCAAAATAAAAGGACTTAATCTTACTCGGTATTATTCACACAAGTAAAAATATATGCATTAGCTGCAAATAAAAATAAATTGCATCGGGGCTGTGCACACGTGCAGGGGTGGGGGAGGAGGAGGCTGCACTCGCCCTGATGGCGGGGAAGAAAACACATTCTGGGCTTTGTTAGTGCCTTGTAGAAATTGTGCCAAGAATCTCCCCTCTCCATAAATATTTCACACTTCCTTAATACAAGGAAGAACAATTTTTAGGCCAAAAGGTGTTCTGACACATATATCCCGCTCTCTACTTCAGCTTGCGGTTTTCATAATATGTGGTAGGACAAAGCTGATCCTGTAGCTCTTAAAAAATACAGAAGTAATAAATAGAGCTTTTTCCTAACAATGATTTAAAAAAAAAATTCTCATCTTCGAAGACGATTGCAGCAACGATGAAAAAAGCACCATTTTTTTGGTATTTCCTTTTTAACTGTAGCCACCTCTACTCTTTTCCGTATTCATAAAATGTATACAGAGCTAATTTTGAATGTGCCCTTTACGATTCTGTCACAGTTATAATATCGTCACGTTCTGAAGGCGTAATTAAAGATTTACCTAGATTTATGAGACTTTATCATTATCAATAGGGTTAAGGAATGCCAGGGAGACACATTGGCGGAAGATTTTACTCAGCAGTTTCTTGAGCAATGAGAGTCCTGGTATTACTTTAGTGCTCAGGAAAAAAATGACTGTTCGGCTCAAATATATAGCCCTTTATTAGAAAGGGAACACCAAAGACACTTCAGTCAAAACACCTCTGTGCCTGCCTGCCGCTCCCTATCAAGAGAGGAAACCAGGAGAAAGCAAATTGTCTCATTCATCCGTGGAAATGTGAGCAATGGAAACATCAGCTCCCGACAGCGGAGCAGCGCTGACCTCTCAGCTTCCCCTTCATAAGGCTTGGACCACATTACAAACGATGGACCCGTGTGCCTTTGAAACGATAGGAGGCAGCTGGGTGTGGTAGTACAAATCTGTAATCCCAGAAGTCTGGGAGGCACAGGCTGGAGGATCACAAGTTTAAACCCAGCCTGCGTAATTTAGCAATTTAGCAAGACCCTATCTCAGAAAAGGGTCTGGGGGTGTAGCTCAATGCAAAGGTCCTGGGTTCAATCTCTGATATTGTATGGGAAAAAGAAGGAGGAAGAAGAGGAGGAGGAGGA